CAGTGAAAAAAGCCCAACCAAAAACTCAAAACCCCCAAAAAATTAAAAAAAAAAGAGATTGAGGCCTAACTCTGTGGAGATGTTTCACCACAGTCACTGCACTTTTATTCCATTTGTTTCATTCCATTTCCTACAGTGGGAGTGTTATCATGTTGTGTGTAAGAAATGACTTTTCGTCCAGTTGTCCTAAAATTTTATTGACATAAAAATATTAATCTGGTGAGTGACAGATGAACTCATTTGCAGGGTGTGAAGCAGAATGCTTGTGTTGGGGAGAAAAGCTAGGTCAAACCAGAAGCTACAGAATGGGAGAGTTTAAGAAAAATAYTATTTAAATTTATAGAGAATGGGCACAAGCCCACAATATTGGTACCCACAGTCAAAAGTATGTCCACATCCATCATGTATGCACATGCACATGACTCTCAGCATATACTATGTACACACTTCTGCTTTACTTTACTGTTTCTCAAGGACAACTTGCCTATTAAAGGAATTGTTGGTGCGCAACTGTTTTGTGATTTCCAAACTGACTAGCAGCTCTTTCTGCTCTTTATGGCTTCAAATATGCAGCAAAACTACATGAAATGAATCTTTGAATAAGCCAAATTAAGGTCGGTGTTTCTTCTACTGATAAGGAGTTTTATACATCAAAACAGTCTTCTTTTACATCTTTTTTTGCCAAATCTTGTGGTGTTTCATGAAAACCAAATTATATTTAACAAGTAGGTTAGTGTTCCTTTTTTAAATACAGATTTAAAAAAAAATCACAAAGCAATTTTTTAAATTATTGTTGTAGTGTCTGGATTGCTGAATGTGAAWGTTGCCAACGGACAATTCTGTTCCACTGCTCCAAATACCTTCTGGGTATTGTGATATTGTAACACATTTCCCAGGAAGCAGGAGCTATGGAGATTGTGTAGTATATAGCCTCCAAAGTCTTTTTTGTTGGTTTTTAAAATTATTTTTAAAATGTGATGTGTTATTAGAAGGTTAAAGATGAGCGATATGAACAATAACTAAATGTCTTGATATTTCAATTTAATAATTTAAATTATTTACAGTTTAGTGAAGCTAAGGGAACTGAAGAGATGCAATCCTCAGCTCCAGGTTTCATCTCATAAAGAAACACTACTGGATGGAGTAACATACCGGCAAAAGTTTGAATGCATAAGAAGCTCTGTGGGACTATACTGGAAAATTTCATATGGATCATATAGACCTAAGTCTTTGGTCAGTTGGTTCTTTCCCCTGCCATAGAAAAGACTTCTTAAAGACTTCAGTGTAAAGTTGGTGTGTAAATATATGTTTGATAACTGTAAAGCACATACGTACACAGAGACACAGACACACATGCACACTGGAAAATCACCTTCTACTTTTGTTCCCCTTATGTACTATGATTAGTGCAAGAAATTTCAGCCAAGGGCTCTAAGAAAACGAAAACAAAATGGTTAATAACATCAACATTTAAATTGTCCACTTAAAAAATAAATAATTCAAATGATGCTGAATGTGTCTATAGTGTGTTCATTAAGAAGGGTTGTGATAGTTCCTTAATTGGATAATGTTTGTGAAGTTGTCTTCTAATCTAATTTTGAACAAGGTATTTTATCCCTGTACTGAAGACATGGGGTCCCTTTATGCATTCTCTGCCAACAGTTACCTGTAGAGACAAAAGAGCCAATGAGGCTGGGCCTTCAAGGTATAAATGTCTGTGATGGCTGAGGGGAGTATTTAGGTCTCACTTGCAGTGAGAAGGTACTGCTGCCTGCATGTGATTTTTGTATTCAGGCTGCTTGGCCTGGTGAGTTTACTGAAAGCTATATACAGTAATTGCTAGTACAGGCTCCTCTAAACTTTGTTTACTATTAAATTGCAATCATTTGCTTGGGAAATTGGGCAGTATTTGTAGTCTTAATTTGCTTTTTACATATTATCAATAACTAGCCAGTTGAATTGTGGAAAAGGTAGAAAGTGAGTCAGTCATTCCTTTTCCAGTGAATGGTCTGTTAGATGTTGTGCCTCCCTCATTTCTTTCTTTCATGGGACTGTGGCCTTTTCAGTTAATGAAAGAAGTGACAAGAAAACTCCAGTATTCATTACAGTATAGCTTTGAGGTAAGAAAGCTGGATAAAACCAAAAGTATAGTCAATTATCAGGAAGATAACAGATACTTTATATTAAAAACCAAATCTTTATTCAACTAAGAATTGTTGAATTTTGTCCTTCTAACAAAAGCATTAGAGAAATGTAGTGGAGAACCTAGGATATTTTAATAAAGACCCAAGGGGATTTCTAAAGAAAAGCAGCCAGTTCCATTCCTCATTGAGTGAAAGCTATCTTGGGAAGGAGAAAAGAAAATGAAGCACCACCTGTGCTCCTACTGGACTTAAAAGCATAGGCATGGGAGGAACAAAGAAGTAAATAATTCAGTTTAAATATTCAAGTCACATAATCATATTATCTGAATAGCAATTTCTTGTTATTAACTCTCTAATAATTTAATTACTATGATTTTTTTGATCATAGTAGTATTCTGAGTAAGTCATAGTCACTCTGTTTTCTGTCTGAAGAATTCAAGATGTTAAATTGTTTTATACAGAGTTTTATCCATAAAAAAATTCTGATTGTGTAAGAAAACTGAGGTACAGGAAAGTTAAAACTAAAAAGTCTGTTGCCTGAAGACAGGTGCTGAAATTAAATCCCTTGACTCTTAGTCATCCACCTGGATAAATCATGCAATTAAATTTGCATCTATTTTCTCAGCTCTTAGGTTTATCAGTGATGCAGTGCACTGCCACCTGAAAGAGGTGCATTAATACAGTTGGGATTTCACTTCACCTGGGCAACAATGACATTCACAGAAGAGATGCCCCATCTGCTGCAGTAAGAATGCCATCTGTCCTTTCAGCATTTGCACTCCATACAGCAAAACAAGTTTTAAAGGGAAAAGGTATCCTTAAAGAGTCCTTACTCACACATCCAATTGGTTATGATTTTTCAAGAGTGAAATAGTGGAGACACTGAGAGTCAGATGTAGGAGAAATATTATCGCTTGTGCTCTTCCCAAATAGAGGTTCTGACAAGCCTAAAAATCCACTGGCCCATCCATTCCACCTCAATCTTTGCCTAAAAGAACTAAGTATCCATAAATGACAGGATACATAATGGGTAAGAATTATTAARCCTTTCCAATGTTAACCATATAATAATGAAAGATATTCTTTCCTAGAACTATTTTTGCAATAGTTGCTATTACTTAGGTCATTTATCATTGCATAACACGCTTTCACTAACATTGTCCAGTATTAGGTATGTCAACTAATTGTTTTCACAAAGAGAGAAAATTTTGCAATTAATTTCTTTAGTGTTTCTTATTTTCTCCTCCTGCGGGTTCCTCTTCCTCTTCTATCCTCTACTGAAGACATACATCTATCTGTTTTTGTCTGTTTGCCCCATTAGTTCTCTTTCCACTAAGTGGTTGTTTCTTTTGGAAATGTTAGTCCTCAGTGTTCTCAGAGTCTCTGTGGATTTTCTCACCTTTTGGTTTTTAACTATCCCACTGTTCCTGGAAGATACTGGTATACATCCTTAAATTTAGAAATCAAAAATACTCTGTAAGTGGATTTGCTTAAAATAACCACATTTTCCTAAATTACTCCTGTTTGGAGAAAGAGCAGGTGGCCTGGCATAGAGCTAGCTGGAGCCACTGACCACTTCCCAGTTAAAACAGCTACACTTGATGCCAAGGGCATGTACAGCTTCTGTTCCTTTTTGTCTAGCACAGAACACATTGCTTTATTGGCCCTGCAAATTACCTCAGCTCTAGAGAACAGCAGAAATGGAGCTGTGGAGTGGTGCATTAGTTGCTGACCTCCTCCAGCTGATCCAGGGTACATCCTATCTCATTATCTGGATGTGAGGCACAGAAGTGAATGCAAAGAGGAAGACAGACAGTTTCTTGGCTAGCTAAAAAAAGCTGAATTACCAAGCAGAGACTATTTCTATGTCTGTAATATGTCAAATGAGGTATGTCAGGCCTTGTGACTCTTACTGCCTATTGGAAAATATTTGTGGTTATCCCTGATAATTCCCCAAAATTGTCTCATAGCAAAAAGTTTTAGCATCTTTTTGTTTTTCTTTGACGTAGTCATTTTTATGTGAGTTCATTCTACAGTGACAAAATTCTGCTCAAGGATTTATCTCCCAACCTTTAAATACAGGCATGTATATTTTTATATGTACGTTATATTTTTATCTAAATAAACAGAACACATGACTCAAAAAACCACCTTTTCCAAGGGTAATTACTCAGAGCTGCTTTTACAGACTTTTAAGAAAATCTTGTTTTCTATACKGATGTTCACAAAGTTGTTTAGCCCAACATATTAATATCCTTCGTATGAATGGAATTATTTAGGATTTTAAAAAGGACTGCATGCATATAAAAATATATCTTTAGACTTTTTAGAATTCATATACATTTAGCAAGGCTTTAAGCATTCATTTACTTCTTTTTAAGCATCAGATACGAAACTGAATTTCTCAGATAATATACTTTGCTATGAAATTAAACAGTTTGGCTTTTTAATTGATAACTTCTATCTACAGAAATTTTAATTTTAAAATTATAATCTTGATGAACCGGAAGGAAAGTTTAAGACTAAAATTCAGATTAGAACACTTATGCAGTTAGTGCACTATGATGAACAGCTGATCCACACCTTGAACAGAAGGGACAAAGTGAAATTTTGATGCAAGATTCTGAAATACAAGTTCTACCATGCAGCCCACAGAACCTSTATCTTGAGGAGGTAGCCTTAACTTGCATAAGACTTAAGGAAATTAAGGAAAATTAAGACAAGCAAAAATAGACAAGATACTGTTTTCAAATGAGTTTAAAGGGAAACGGAATAAATTAATTCTGGAGCATAGGTGAATTTACCTTATTTCCTCTCTGTGTTTACTTGAATACTTAACTGCTTAAAGCCTCCTACCTTCAGGTAATTTTGCCACCATGTGAAAAATCTGATGGGTGTTCTTCCGACAGATATCCACTGGATCATCCAGGAGCCCATTGAGGGCAGAAATGATTCCACTTCGTATCAACCCTTGCCTTAAAACAACAATGGAGGACAGATTTAACACAACATAATRAAACTTATATATATTTTATATATTTAATCTTAACTACTCTTATTTATGATGCATCTGTCTTAGAAATTCTGTTCTTATTTCTCACTAAAACATCACTTTCCACAGCATTCAGTAAACTCTGGAATTGCACCTACCTGCCAACACTATGCAAAGCCATTACAGAGAGAGCTTCTGTTGTTTTTTGTCGAACAGTTTGGTCATCATGTGCCAGCAAAGTCTGCAGGTTATCCAAGAATCCTACAAGACACCAGAGTTCATTATTAACATTTCTTATCTTCAGCATTATTTTGAAATAGCAATATTCATCATTTACCTCAAAGTTTGAAGTGCATCAGACTTTTCAGCTTGTCCTGACAGTGAAATTCTCATTGTCATAYCTCAAGTAAGGAAGAAAATTTCAAATTTTAAGGCCTACTGCCAAAAATGTCATGCTACAAACAAGYTCCTGACTCCTTATCAAGTTAAATTCTAATCTTGCAAATATAAAGTGACAGAACTCYAAAAATAAGTCAGTCGAGCTATTGATGTCTTCAGAAAAGCATGTTTTTGCAGGATTGGCACCTACATTTTTTAACAAAATAAATGTGGTGACCCATTAATGATTGTGTGTATGCACATATGGCACTGACCAAAGCCAAARAAACCCAACAACCCCAAACAAACAACAATCTCACATTGTTTTGGCATCAAACTGCTCCTCAAACACTAACCTAATAAATTTTGAACATGATTATTCTCTTTTATGAGAGGAAAAAAATAAAAAGGAAGTAAATGGAGAAAAAAGCAGTGGCAAATAAGGATTTTTTTCCGTGTTACATAATGAGCTATGCAGATATAAAACAGACTGTACATATTGCAAAAATAAGCCTGTGGTTTGGGGCTTGCCCCCCCCCCCCCCCAAAATCAAAAGTTAGGATTCTTCCTGAGTATTTTGACAATACTGGTGGCCACATGGAATCCTGCTGAGTATGATAAATTTGGTTATATTCCCTTCTTTTTAAATTYCTTTTCAAGTTCCAGGCAAGGGGGTGATGATGGTGGGGTTCTAACTTTGAACTAATTAAGCTCTTTTTTTTTTTTTTATAATTAGCCTATGTAAGGAATTAGCTAAAATGAGAATAAAGACTGGGGACGTGGTTTAGTGGGGAACATGGCAGGGCAGAGTTAACAGTTGAACTGAGTTATCTTAGAGGTCTTTCCCAACCTTAAAAATTCTWTGATTCTGTGGAAAGGAAGATTTCCTATTTAGAGGTTGATAAAACTTATAGTGAGCCATTGATAAATCCTAAAGTGATGATGTCTCAAAATAACTGTCATGTATATGGTATTACAATATTCTTTATCTTTCTAAGTTAAAATAAACTGCAAATTTTTCCTGGGCATTTCATGTCATCAAAGATATTGTAAGCAAAATGTAAAGGAAGAAAGTAAAGGGGTGCTCCCCCCTCAGCCTGCCCCACTGCGTCAGAGCTTGTGAGAACACATCACTTACCTAATGCTATTGCCTGGTAGACATTTTCTGGATCATGGACCAGATCGCAGAGTGCCACCAGTGCCCGCTGCTGCGTCAGTAGTTCGGGAGACTGCAACTCCTCATTCAGTTTAGGAAGGGCCCTCCTCCCAAATGCCAGAGGAGCTTTTGTGGGATCTATATCAGGGGGGAGGTAGGCTGAGATACGAGGTTGTGCCATCCCAAATCTTCCAGAGAAGGATTCTCCCTACCCTTAAAAACACTCCAGAATGGCGGTAATTGGTGACTGCACAGATGGACACCTACTGACTTTAAACAGTGCTCTGTGTCCCCGAGGAGCTCTTTCAGCACACACACACTATCAGGGAGCTGTGAGACTGGAATGGTGCACGGTCATCARCACTAAAGTCTGTTCATCTGCTGAATTGTCTTATCTGGTTTAATTCTTTACTGAACACTGTAAAGAAAAGAGAGAGAGAAAGATAAACCTTAAAATTGAAAGGAGGGATRTTAAAATTGATGGAGGGAATGTTTTTTAAAGCGTTGAAGTGAAGCAGCCCAATGCCCAAAATACAATTAAAGCAAAGGAAAACAAAATGCCTCCCCCTCCCCGCCCGAACCATTTTTAAAGGGATCAGGTTAAAACCTGCCCTCAGAATTCGATAACGTTTGATAAAATACTTGAGGGCGCCCCACCCCACCCCGCCCTTTCCTCAGCGCGGGAAAGCGGCTCAGCCGACTGAACAATACGACCTCCAAAACTGAAAACTACTAACAACAAAAACAAAACCTGAGAGTTAAAACAGCCTCTAAACAACTCCTTCTCCAACACTTCTCCCTTCAAAGCAAACGAAATAGACTAAATAATGGAAGGTGCCACTACCAAGCCCCTGGCGCCCGCCCCTCAGCGCCGGCCGGCCCTCAGCGTGCCCCGGTTGCCACAGAGCCCGCGCTTTGCGTACGCGCCGCTTCGTGAATAGCACCTAACGCAGCCGAGCCGCGGGTCCGGCCCTRCGTCAGCAGCGTGAGCACCGCGTTTGACGCTGCCCGCCGGGAGGGAGTTACGTCAGTGGCGTATTTGGGAGGGGGTGCGAGGCGCGGCCCCTGAGGGGTCCGTGAGGGGACGGGGACGCCGCTGGGGCAGGGTCGCGGCGTGGCGGYCTTTCTACCTCGTGGAGTTTCTCCTCTTCACCCGTTTTCGAAGTAATTTSAGTTGAACAAAATTGAGGAAAATTCAGAGTGAACAAAATGGTGGTCGAGTTAAGGGCAGAAATACAGGCCTTGGGGTACAAGGGTTGAAGGGAGCGCGGTAGTTTTGGACTAGGTTTCCTTTGCTAATCTTCTCCAGAATGTCATTATGAACAGCTAGAATGTGTAGTAAGGGTTTCCATTATTACCTAGTTTCACATAACTGTTCAGAGGAAGGTACACGGGAAGAAAGGATCATTGCAAAGTTGTGGCACAGTTTGAGGGTGTTCTGGGTTGTCAGATGTGATCTGGCATCAGGAAAAAGCTCTGAACAGCTTGTGCTATAAAAGGATAGTGCAGATAGTAAAGTCGTTGAGATRTTTTTCATTATGTCTGAGTAACAATTACAATAATCAAAGTTCTTAAACGGGATTTTACAAATCCAAAGTAATTCTGATCAGCTGGATAGAAATGCATCACAGGGATAGGTCCTGGTTTGTTGATCTTCAAAATCCATAAAAGAAAAATTACTACTTTAGAAAGTATTTTCTAGAAAGGTTTTATTTTTCTGCATATTATTTAGAGATTATTTCCCTGAATTGGATTAGACTTTCACTAACTATGTACTTGTTAAAGTTTACCTGATTTCCATAGGGAGAACGTAAACTTTTCTCAGGGTAGAAGGAGCAGGACAAAATCAAAGACTTGTTCCTCAATGTTAACTCAGTTTTTGATGTGAGTTGTTATTCTTCACKATAGCTTTCAATACTGATTTTGTTAGTGGCGATGACGTTAACTTATTTTATGTATGCCTGCTGAATGCCTTCCTCACATCCTTTGTCTACCCACAGAAGCTGCTRGTGCTAGTGTTCTTGCAATGCTGAGATAAGGAGTGTTGTGATGCCATGGAGACACTGTGTTCCCAGCACTCCCTGGTGACTCCTCTTTCAGCTCTCTAAGAGAAGAAAATATGGATCATTCTCAGTGTTTTCAGCAACTTTTTTTTTTTTTCCCTGTAATGGTGTATCTTATTTGTTGATTTGGTAAGTTGGGRTATGCTTATGTGTGTATGAGATTTAGATTAATACACTGAGTATAAATGAAGATGGCCTCTCAATTCTGAAATATTTCTGTGTGGTTGCCTTGGTCCCTCCTGTACTTTGCACTTGCTGAGATTGTTGAACTGGGGCTTTTTGTAGCTTAGTTTGTGTAAGAGCTTTGGGAGATGAGCAATGAGTCAGTCTATGTACACATGACAGGTGTTTAGGATGCTTAGGACGTGTTGAACTAGACCTAGGAGAACATGCAGAAAGYAAGTTAGTGTTTGAAACTCCTAACAACTCATGGAGTTTTTGTTTTTTTCAGCATAGTTCTGACATTAATTAAGATATTAATATTGCCATAAAATCATTCAAGCTTACCAAAAGGGCAGGAGCACACCATAACAGGGGTCTAGATCTCTCAARTTGTATATGGTCACAAGTGACAGAGAACTATGCTTCTGGTAATAGATAAATACTATAATGCCACTGTCTTTGGTGAATAACCCATTAGCTACAAATCTAGATTCTTTGAGGGGAAGTGGCTGTTTTGGTGTGGTTGGGATCATAAGTCTGAAGTGATTTAAAATTCCTCATGGAAGAGAATAAAACATTAATTCGAAGTAGTGGACTAGCAATTTTGTTAAGCATTATTCTTAGTGTGTGCTTGTAAAACACAACTCTAGGGGTTTTTTTTTTTATGCTGTACTTGCTCACTTTAAAATTACTTGCTCACTTTTAAAATTTCTGCATTTATGAGCCCTTTAACCCTCTTAATCTGCTGCAGAAGCAGGAGAGGCTTGTCTCCTGGTTCAAAGCCTGTTCCAGCTTTATCAAAATATGACTGTTAGAATGGACAGTTTTGTTTTCTCTTCCTAATAAAATAGATAGCTAAATCTTCTAGCATCCTAAATTGCAGTCTGGCATGCTAAATGCTGTCTAAATTAATAAACTGATTGACAATACTTAGGTAATGCAAAAGAGCTGTGCCATTTCTGATTCCTTCTCTTTGGTGTTTTGTACATTAGAAAGCAAGATTATTAATGACTAGAAAGACATTTATGTAATTCAGAATGTCTCATTGGTGACATGCGCATCCTGACTTTAAAGCTCAGATRAAGTCAAGTTGAAACGTTGAAAACATCCCTTGGGAGTTTCTTTATAATTGTTGCTATGCTTAATATTAGCGCTGTAACARTTCCCTACTCCATTAGTTCCCTGTCTGCTGGGTTCATCCTGTTTTTTGTATCCATATATACAACGATCTTCAAAGAAAATGGAACTGTTTCCTTATACAGGATTAGTGACCGTTTGGTTTATTGATGAGCAGTTTCTGATTGAAGGAACCTGTATGATCGCTTAAACGAGTTTGTTGTTTTAAAACCTTATATATAGTTAAATTACTCCAGCTCCTCCTTCCCGGTCTGTGGAAGAAGGGGAGGAAGGGAATTGTTGCAAGCCTGTTGCTATGGCCACGTASAGGGGCTGAGCTGTTTGTGCGGCTGGAATCCTGCTGCATCAGCTGCTGCTCGGTGAGTCCTTCCTTACACTTTGCTACATGATGGAAATGCTCTCATTAGAAACGTTCTTTTGAATGCCAGTAAGAAATTGGTACCCTAATAAGGGTCTCCTCCCCCAGCAACCCACGAGGTTTCATTACATAACCAAATTGATATGTCTCAGGTGAGACATCTAAATGCATTTGTGATTTTCATGTGAGCATTATTATTCTTTTTCCATGTCAGACGGGTTTCATTCTTTCTGAGCTGATCTTGGATGAAAGTTTTGATGTTGTGCCAAAAAATGAGGCAGTTTTGTCTTTCCTTCTTTCTTCTTCTGACCACATGAAATCTGGGATCCCCTAACATTAAKGTGCTTAGCACAGACGCATTTGAAACAATGATGAGCAAGATTTTTACATTAAACACTGTAAAATCCTTTGAAGGCTAAACTGCAAGCACTTAGTTTGAATTAAGTGAGCAATTCTCTGCCTCCCATGGAATTTAAGTTGGTGCCTTGTAGTTCCAAAAGGCCACTGTTTGCTACTACAGCTATGCACCGTGAAGTGGTTCCTTTTACATGAGAAATAGGTTTTCTTTCATGCAAACTGAGTTGAAGAACTGCCAGTTGTACTGAAAAGAAGAAAAACAAAAAAAAAGAGGCAAGTCTGCAAGAACTTGGTTAGTTTTTGTTWTATCATGCTGTCCCTGTATTGAAGTAATTCCTGAATACTGTATTTCTCTTTATGTATTTTCAGTCTTGTAGAATTTAACTGAATTTGGAGGATGAAGTCCAGCCTAATGCATTYGGTTCCTCCAGTGAGTAGGGAAAGAATAATCTCCCAGTTTCCCAAGGTAAGCATTTTTATCCCTCTGGTCACAKTATGTAGCCCCTGCTGCACTGCTCTATCTTCCCATTGTGTTAATGGTATTTTAATTTAATTTAATGTACACTTGTTGTCTTCTGTTAAAATTACAAGTTATTTAAGATTCTTTCAAAGTTTAATGTGACCTTGTATTCCCRTTCAATGGTGATTTCTTTAATAATACTTCTCATTCTTCTTTCTAACCTTTACAAAAAATGATGATTGTCAYAGAAGCATTGTCTTATAATGTTTATCTTGTTCTTCAGCAAAATAGTAATAATTATGTTCTTAAAGAGCTCCAACACCAAGGGGAAAGAGGAACCATAGCTGATGTTAAATATACAAAAAAAATCTAATTAGAAGCCTTTGGTTGAAGAATTTGAGGCAGTTTTAATTTTCTGTTTTTATAAGAACCTTAGTCATACAGTAGATCAAATGTARTAGGCATTGTAGAAAGACCTTTGATGTCCCCAAAGAGTTTTGTGTCTGAAGTATAATAGAAGAGTTAAGGACAARGAAGGACAAGGAATCACCACTTGTCTTTTTCAGTTGTTCAAAAGATCATTTTAAGGGAGTTAACGTTTTTTCTATTCTTGATCTCAGCCACATATTTTCCTCATTTTAAACTAATTCCTAGTTAAAGGGCTAGTCATAAAATCAGTGCTTCATACTTATAAAAGATTGAAAAAACTTCATAGTAAAAATTACTTACTTAAAAATGGGTGGAGTGCTCCCATCTGTTTGTCTTGTGTTTCTTRGATTATTGGGGTATTTGGAGGCATTTATTGTTGTACAGAATGATGAACAAATGATTTGGCTGTGGATGCTTAGGCAGTGCTGGGACACTGGCACTTAGAAAGGTGCACAAAGAATGGTGTTGTCCCAAGGAGTTTTTACAAACCTTCTAACCCAGTGTAACCCTTTTCTTGTGACAGGATACCTCTGTGCTTGACAAACCCTTTGAATAATCATCCAGTTTTCTTTGCCGGTTTGACTTCTTGCCAAGTAGCCATCWCCCAGTTTGTCCCAGCAGCTGTTCTCTCTTTTCAGTGGTACACACCTGAGGCCTGTCTGCAGTTTAAAGAGCACTTCCATGCACAGGTCAGGACTGCTTGTCAGGAGAGCYCTGAAACAGCAGGGTAAGTTTGTACTAACCCAGCTATGCAAGGAAGAAAGTATTTTAAGCTCTTTATAGCCTCCATTCTTCATTGTCTTTTCTTCCCTCATTCCTCATGTTCCTCACTCCAGTATGTTTCAAGACAGCTAAGCCTATGCACAGGGCAGTTCTCTGACCTTTCCACAGTAAATGAATCAAGTGCCTCTTCTTCTGCTGGCTTAGGTAGCATTGAAAAAAATGATGTAGTAGTTTARCAACAAAAAGGTTTTTAGCACTCTTTAAGTAAACACTTAGTTCAAACATCTAACAGATCCAGCCTTGCTGTGTCCTTTGTAGGTGTTCCAAAGGAGCAGTTAATAAATGCTTTGGAGGGATATAAGTGCAGTTGTAAGTTTCTTGAAGCATCGAAAAATCTAGTTTTAGTATTTTTGAAGTATACATGCTGAGAAGTTCTCTTAAATGGTCCTTAAGACTGRAACAAAATTCTGGTAAATATGTAGCAGTGAAAAATCCAAATTAGCTGTTCTATGCCCTACTATAGGGGATAGTAGCCCTTCTAAGCCCTAATAATCTTGAAGTTGGGTTTTTTCCTCTACTTTATCTCTCCCCCAGAACTGTTGCTATTACTGATTTAATCTCTGAAGCAAGGCAAGAAAGCTAAACTGTGTTACAAATCACCACTGTTCCAGTAAAATAAATAGCTGTACATTTTAGTGATAAATGCTTCTGGTTTCAGTGTGAAGGATCTTCCCTAAAGTGGAGCTCCTGTGAATACTGACAATTAGCTCACTATTCTTCCAGCTCTAGAGTTGCTGACATGAGACTTGTCATGATATCCATCTTTAAATGCAACTTTTTATTCATTTCACTAGGGAGTCTTTCTAAAAAAAACTTTTTAAACCAAAATATGTCACTGTGAGAGACATCAGTGACTTTATTCCTTTTTTAGAAACACAGTCACTATCTTAGTTTCATGTAAATTTGTTATAAGTGTCTGGACAATTTTCCTAGCAGGACATGCTTTATTGAATTGWATTTTTTTCTTCCATTACCAAGATGTGCTTGTTTGGGATTTTTATTAGTAGTATTTTTTTTTATTTCCAGAGTAAACYAACTCTCCAGGTAATTTATTCGGGTAACAGAGTACAGCTAAAAAGCAATGTGTTTTGTCTTTGTGAATAGAATTAAGCCACTTTTCTGTCACTGCTTTCTAGRTATGATTATTATTTGGTCATTTAGGTAATTTTTTGCTGGAATGAGGGTAGTAAGGGCAGCCCAAGTGTTTTGTAGAGAACTTGTAAAGCTTGACAGGAATAACCATTATCTTCCTTTTCCATTATCCCAAGTAATAAAATATTTCTTTGTCATTTGGACAAAGACAAACAGACTAGCTAGTCATTTTGACAAAGCTAGTCTGAAAAATTCAGTAGCTAATGGCTGTATTTAATATTCTCTTGATAGTCCATTCATTGTGTTCAATGGTCTGATCTAGGGGTTTTTTATACCCAGTATGARTTAATGGAACAAACACCTCTTAACCATCACTTACTTTTCGGCTTTTCATTTAAGGTTATTGATTTTACTCAGTATTTTCTCAGTAACAGTTTATCAGGAGCATAGGGGCCTGTGGTCACCCAGTTAATGTTAACTGGCATAAGAAACAAAAACATATATATTTTTTAGTACTAGTCATGCAACTTACCAGTCAAAATTCGAACTATTTAGAGCAGATAACTTGGAATCAGCATCATATGGAAGYTGATACAACCAGAAATAATATTCAGYAGATTAATTCCTCTGTTTTAAAAGCCATTCCTTGATAGAAAAGAATATTAAACCTCTTAAGCCATTTTTGTAGCATGTGCACAGGAGATGTCAATCCAAGTTTAGATCAACAAATAAACTTAAATTCACTTATCCACCTGYATGTCCTAAAAGAGACACTATTTCCATTTTAAGAATGCAGGCTGAGTCACCTAAAGCCATCTGCTGTATCCTGCAGGAGGACCTAGGGCAAAGAGGATTACTTSTATGAAGCCAGGTTCAGATTAATATTATTCCAGATAGTCAGAAAATGTATTGGCTCTAACCCTGTGGGTGTTTTTCCCAGAGGCACATTCTGTAGTGAGTTATTTTATTATTAACCATTTCTTGCTTCTGTACTTAAGACTTCATTTGTACTATTAAAGTCAGTAAGAAACTTGGGATAAATTGGAAGGCAAAGGATGCAGATATTCTGTGGTCTTGTGTGTATACTTGTAGTCAAAGCAATTTTAGTAGAATGAAATTTATGTCCCACTGAATTAAAATTAATGAATAAAAAAAAAGAGTAAGAAATGGACTATTTCGGCTCCAGAAAGGTTTGTTTTTTTGGTGGCTTTCTTTCTTGCCAAATTTAAAATAAAATCTTAAATGAAATTTAAGACTTTATGCAGCACAGTGGCATTTATCTAAACTGAAGTCACAGGTACAAGTGCTCATCACTTGCAATTTAAAGATTGAAATCYGAATTTTTAGAGACTGTTGAAATTACTAGTAAAACCATGTAACATTTTTAAATATTTACAACAGGATGAAAATATCCAAAGTGGTTGTGGTAGGAGACCTGTATGTTGGGAAAACCAGTCTTATCAACAGGTACAGTATATCTCAGCTGATGCTTTGATTCTTCTGTTTCTCAAATAAATGTTATAACATTTCCATTGCTGGCTTTAGAGCAGTGTTTCATGGTTCTGGTTTGAACCTGAACCAATACTTGGTGGTTTTGTTATTAAATGAAGACAAACCAAAGTCTATAGTATGAGACAGSCTTGGTACATCAACACAGAAAGTTGTGCTCTAGCACTTCAATCAGTATGTGTCGTATTCGGAAGTATTTTTATCCAGTAAATATGATACAGTGTTTTCTTAAGGAATCCAGTCTAAAGGCTAAACAATTGGAAAAAAAAAATCTGGCGTCTGAGTCTTGGTTTCGTTTGGATCATTATTTACAACCCMAAATATGTTCCCTTCTGACTAAAACTGTAAGATATTGCACTTCCCTTAAGAGCCTGAAGCTGGTTTATTCTGTGTCTCATACTGTCCTGAGAGCTTATTTAGATGTATGTGCTTTGTCATTTGTTAAACAGTATCTCCTTTTCTTTTCATTAGCCTTGATGTTTTTAAATTTGCCTCTATATTATATAGCMAATCTGCAGTTAGTTTATTATTTTCTTCATAGTTTACCCTAGACAGTGTTAGTTTTGCAGTTATTTGTTGTGTTTTACTAATATTTCATCTCTTTTTTATTTAATTGCAGATTTTGTAAAGATAATTTTGACCGAGACTACAAGGCAACAATTGGAGTAGATTTTGAAATGGAACGTTTTGAGATAATTGGAATGCCATATAACCTCCAGATGTGAGTTGAAAGAGCATGGTTAAGCATTGCACAGAGAACAGTCTAAGCAGAGCTTGAATTGCTGCAGGCTTTAGGGGAATAAAGGGTTTTGAAATATAATAAAATTGCACAAAGAATAATCTCTTCTGAAGAAAAGATTCTGTCTCTRGACTTGCAGTTTTAGTAAAAATTTTACGCTGGGATTTCTTGTCCCTGAAAAACATTACAACTTTGTCAATGAAAATTAATCTTGGATGTCTTACACTATTTCAGTGGAGTTCTGCTTTTTTTACTCAATGTTCATGAAAGWGAAGTGGAAGCTTTCACCACAGCTAGTGTAAGCCCAGTGTGTGATTTGTGTTAGGTAGGTGCAATGAGCACTTGGCTTTACTGGGAGTTCTATTTCTGCAGTCACTGAAATTATTGTTAAGGTGTCCAGTGATTTCAACTTCTCTTAATTAGGGACTAATTAATTATCCCCAAATCATAGAAAGGCTGGAGTGTTTTTGTGAGAATGTGAACCTAATACCTTTGATTTTCAACTTGGTTTGTCAGACTAGTGGGAATCCTGCCCTTCTTCCATCTGCTTTTAGTCTGGTGTGGAAAGGTGTCCCTCTGTTTCTGGTGGCCAGCAACATTATTCTGTAGAGGGTTGAATCATCTGCAGTGTGACCTACAGCAAAAATAAGATGCTTTGCATGAGGTGTTTCTGTGCATGAATCTTAACCTTTTTACCTAGGAACGCGTTTTTCTGCTGAGGTCACTGGTGTGAATTGATGGCTCTTGGTATTTATTGAAAAATACTTAGAAATCCTTTTCCCACTGATTTCACTGCAATTGTGTTAGGGAAATTGTGCCAAGCACTACCCTGTTGGAAGCTGAGTACCTCTAAAAATCTAGACTCATGCATCAGTATTTTGCAAGCTGAAGCACTAAGGTCAGCTCACATTATCTGCCAAGTCTTTGGAATCTGGTAGAACATTTCCATATGATAAGCTCTAGTGCCCCCTCTTGCTGAGAGATTTCCATACAAGATATCTTTGCAAGTGTCTGTGACTGGCAATACAAGGCTACGACAAAACCCAAACATCTGTAGTGCTGGCAGTAGCTGAGGGCATTGCATATCATATTCATTAAGAAGAACATCCTTGATTTTATTTTATGGTGTCATTGGAGCTGTAGGTCTCTAATTTGTAGCATAGGGACAGATATCTTATCTAGCAGCTGCAAGGTTCTAACATGGGCTAATACATGATTTAGCTAGTATTAGTGGAGAAAATTTGCAAAATTAGATTGCCCTAGAAAYACATGCACATTACATAGATGAAAGAAAAAAATGCTTTAAGGRAAGGATATTACCATGCAGAATACAAATATATGAATTGTCTCCAAAATCATTAGTATTAAGAAAAGAAAAAAAAAAAGGTAAAAATTAAGTAAAAAAAAAAAAAAAAAAAGGTAAAAATTAAGTTTGAATATCATTGAATAATAAAGCTTTACTGTATTTCTCTCAGTAGTTAATGAATAACATGTTCCAGATGGTGACACTTCTCTGGTATCACATTCTTCTCCGCCTTGTACCAGTCTGCTGCTTCATTAGCATGTTTACTCAAGTTACCCTGCGTTTCATTAACCTGAAATTTCTTTTTCCCCCCCATTGCACAGATGGGACACAGCAGGTCAGGAAAAGTTCAAGTGCATTGCATCTGCTTACTACCGAGGAGCAGAGGGTGAGAACAATATTAATTTGTTCCTACCTGTGTCAGGAGGTTGTATTTTATACAGCAATATATATCTGTATATGCTCCTTTGGAAGGTGCCTATAGACACAGTGTGGYGGAATGGATTGTCCATTATTGCAGGGAAGAAGGGATGAAGARGTTCATGAATTGTCACATCTGTAAGCTCTGAGTGTTCTGATGGTGCAGTGATAAAAATTGGCGCTTATGTCTAGGGGAAAAAGAACATGGGGTTGGGTGAGATTAATGCTGGAATTAGAAGTGGATGTTTCTAGCTTTTCCTTTAGTAAGAGGCAATCCTGAGGGAATTAGTGGCTCCAAAATGAAAGGGTATAGACTGCAGATACAGATATAAGATTGAAGACTAAGGACTTGAATGTTACTGGGTGCTAGAAAAGGAAAAAGAGTGAGCAAATGGAGAGTCTTCCACCTCCTCTGTGTTAAATCTGTTCTTACACCTTATAAGTAAACATTCTCTCTGTTTAAGAAGATGGATTGGAGAGATTTCTGATATACTTTCTAATTTAGTTATTTATTTTCTGCTCTTTTCTTTTTTTTGCAGTTATAATAACAGTGTTTGATCTGGCTGATATCCAAACTTTGGATCACACCAAGTAAGTTTTTGTATTTTGGCTTATGTTTTAAAGGTTTTGCAGCAGGTTTAATTGCCTTGCATATGTAGGTGTTAAGAACTTGCTGGATCATGAGTGTATTTTCTATTGAGCTAAGAAATGAAAAAYGACAGTCACTAGTTTGGATTACATAGGGTGGGATTATTCTGAAGAAAATGCTGGGCATAAATTTGAACTACTTACACTTGACTTCCTTTAAASTCAATGCAGAGGGAGAGGCACTTCAGTAAAAGCTTGATTCTTCCAAAGCTGGACATGGAGGAAGAGATAAAGTGCACCCCAAAAAGCATTCTTCTTTTTACACCATTTGCTATAAATAACAGAAGATAGTCTAATGTAAATGATGAAATTCATGATATGCATCTCGTGCTTAGTGTCTCAAAAGCCTTTTTTATTTTAGGTGCACTGATATCCCAAAATTTTCTTTCTCTAGTTTCTGTGATTCTGATGGGAGTTAGGCTGTTAAAAAAAAGAGAGAAAAATGCAAACCTCAAAGTATATGTAGATACAGCTAAACTTACTAGTTCATATCCTTGTAATGGTTTGGTTACTCACTAATGATTATGAGTAAAATCTTTCTGCTTTTAGTGCAGGCTGTGAAACCTTACATGGATCTATGATCCACACTGTCACAGCTCAGAGCATATGTATTTCTAACGTGCTGTTGTGACTGTAATGCAGGTACAGACTTCTTTACAACCTGTACTCTGTCTTATTTGAATGTGTACTATGGTGCTTAGCTCATTTACATAGGACTTTGTAAAATAATATATATATTAGTGTCTCTGCTTGGCTGAAAGTAATTGAAGCCTGTGAACCTGATTTCCCACACACGCACACACTCCCTTCCCTCCTTGACTTGTGTTGGATGACTCAAGAGAAACTTGATTGCCAGAGTAACAAGAATATAAAAGCTTGTGAGACAAGAATCATACAGCCTTCATAGGGAGCTGTTTTATAATGCTGAATAGATTATTTCACTCTTCTTTATTCCCATTTGTATCTAACCTGCTATGGTTCATATGGTTTCATTTGCTTCTTGTTTTCTTAATCCTTATCTCACACCAAACTTTGCCCCCTCTCTTACACTGAGAAATATCCTCTCAGGGTGTCAAAAATTGTTGAATTTGTACTCTGCCGTGGGTATGATTTTACCTTAGTGGAAGATGTATTCAAAGGAATCGTAATAGCTACTGCTCTCTCTGTCTAGAACAAAAGGCTTTTGATACTGTCACGTAAGTTCTTCCTCTCACTTTTCTTGTGACCCTATTATCTGTCACCTTCTCCTATACTCCTCATTCCCTCTGACTGATTCTGTCATTTCTCTTTTGTATTTCAGACAGTGGCTAGAAGATGCATTGAGGGAGAATGAGCCAGATTCCAGCTTCATCTTTCTAGTTGGAACAAAAAAAGATTTGGTGGTAAGTAAATTGAATGCAGATAAGGAAATCAGATTTTCCTTAGTTCTACAAGTGATTTCCCTTACAAGTCATGCACAATGTCATTGAGATAAAGACCTTGAGCAAAAAAACTTCACAGGTAAACTGAACAGCACACTTGGAACCAGTTTAAGAAGAGGCTTTCTGAAAAATTGGTAGGTAGTGAAATATTTCTTGCATGACATTTTTCAAGAATATATAAACACAGCATATATAAACATACCTAGTGGTATTGGCTGCTTTGTTTTCTTAAGCTTAGTGTGTTTATTATTCAGGAACAGGGAAGATTTCTTACTTAATTGAAAATGAYATAATTTTCAAAATAACAGGATGAATGCAGTCACTCTATACAATTCTCAGTCTTGTGTTTGTCTTTCTGTAACTCTCAATATTTAATKTTTAATGCTTTGAAAACAAACTTGCTTCTTTGTAACTGGCTGCTTCCACTACTCTTCTGCTGAGAATGATGGGATGACAAGGATTTAAAGATGAGTAACTGSGCTGCTGACTTGATAGCTCTTTACCAGGGTATGTGTTAGATACAAGGATTGCTAACATATCTAACTTGTGTATGTTAACTGTTGCTTTGTTTCAGTGCTGTGGGAGCTAAGTGGAGACTTCCATTTAAAAGCAGTATTAAATACTTGAATTTTCTTGCAGTSATGTGTGATTGCCCAAGTCTAGGCAAGGTCAGAAAGGCTGCTGAAAAAACTGGAAGCTGTACAGTGTTGGTGCTATGGCAGTACCTCTGTGATGTTACCAGCCCAGACACGCTTTTCATATTCAAGTTATTCCCTGTTGTTTTCCCAGTCAGATGCAGTGTGTGAAAGGACAGAGCTGGATGCCATCCGTTTTGCCAAGGAGATGAATGCGGAATATTGGTCCGTTTCAGCCAAAACAGGTAAACTACTGCAAAGGATGTAAAAATAGCAGAGCCACAAGTGGGAGGAACTTATTATCCCCCCCATTACCAGTTTGTTTTTTTGTTAATTGTTCTTGCATTTTATTGCTATTAGAAACTTCAGGCTTGTTAATGGCTAATTTTATCTGAGCATTTGTATGTGTGCTTTCACTGTCGTGTTTGCAGAAAGAAGTAATCAAGCTGCTTTGCAGTATCTGAGCATGTTTAATTCATAGACAGTTACATAAATACACATGTGCACTACTGCTCAATGTTTGCAATGGAATATTATACCACAAACTGAATTCTCCCCATTGCTGGCTAAAAATAAAGGCGCAGCAAAGGGTGCAGAATTCCAGAGTAAGAAAATTAGAAATGTTTTCTGTAGTGATCAGAATGAAAGACAGATTGTTGGAGAGGCCTGTTCTGTCCCAGTATTGAGCAGTGAACTGCTCACAGATGTGCTTGTTATGCTTGATCATCTGTTGATGTGCCTTTATAACAACAYATGATTTCTGTCTTGTTTCCTAGGGGAAAATGTCAAAGAATTCTTTTCCAGAGTTGCTGCCTTGGCCTTTGAACAGTCCATGATAAAGGAGCTGGAGAACACTCCTGGGCACAGGGCCCAGATTGGGGAAGGAAATCTCATCAGTAAGTGGAGTTTTGCTTTTTGTATGCATTTTCCTTGTTTATAGTCCAAAGGATTGGGGAGGTTTCTCAAGCATAAAAGCCAGTTTCAAACACCTGGAAGTATATTCATGTCATTGTCTGCCCAGGTTTTAGACTATAGGAGTGACTGGGCCTGCATCCAGCTTTTGTATCCTCTAGTATCAGATRGTAGAATTTCTTGTAAATTGGTTTTATAACTTCTTTGTTTCCACAGAACTGGAGAAGAACATTATGGAAATTCCAGAAGACAACKCTCAAGTCAACCTGAGTTGCTGCTAACTGTCAGCTGTTTCTGCAAGTGCCACACTTCTCTGCAACAATGCTTTCAAGCCAGAAATAGAGAACTTTAATTTTAGAAATGAGGGAGGAAAAACTTATCCAAACTTTCTTGCTGAGAGTTCCTTTGCTGCTGCAGGCTCACCGTGCTGGGYGGTACAATTGTTACATAAACCTTTCTCTGTGTAGTTGAAACATAACATCCTTCTCTTAATGCAAGAAGACATTGCCAGTGCCATGTGCTCACCTGTCTGCCAGAAAGGCTTGTAGTCAAAAATGATGTCATTTTGATGTGTTATTCTTTGATAATTCTTTAGAAGTCTTAGCTGGAGAAGTGGTATTCTCATGGGAGCAGGAAACAAGTGGCAGTTCAAAATAAAGGGTGCTGTCTATATGCTTTTGCCTTTTAAAATCATTCTGTAAAATAACTCTGATTTGCTTTTATGCATTCCAACTATTTAAAAACTATTTGAAAATAAATCTTTTTAAGTATCAGGACTGGAAGTACACAAATGCAGACTGCATAGTTTCCACTGTGGTTTCTCCATCCAGGAAAAATCTGTATTACTTTAATTTTCCACTTGAGAATCAGAGTCCAGTATTAAATATTTCCAAGCCTAGAAAAAGTCCAGGTAGGAACTTGTTTATTTTAACACAGCTGCCTATTATTCTGAAAATGTTGGCAGGTAAGAATGCTATTCTTTTCCATTCTCTTGAATAAGAAAGAATGATCACATAGGTGCATAACATGGAACATGTATTATTTCCCTCTAATTTTTCCAGTAACTCTCTGAAYATCTAATATTCAGTTGTGTGTATCTAGCTTAGAATTCCATGTTTCTAGGATTCATAGCCAGCATTTCAGGCTATGCTGGCATAAAAAAAAAATACAATGCTTTAAATTTCATACTGCAACTATTTTAAATGGAGAGAAAGAAGAAAATCTATGAACAGTTAAAAGGTACAGTTTCTCAAGATATTAATTCAATCATTGCAAAACAATAGTATCTGGAAAACTAATTATAACAGGACATTTCATATTTTAGCTGCTGAGAAATAWAGACATTTGTTAATAAATACATCAATCTGAAAATATTTTGGATTCTCTCCCAATTTTCCCACATTCATAAGAAATGGGAARAAGTGTAGAAAAGATAGCTTAAACATTCTTTTCATTACTTTTTTCTTATGACATAAGTTAGAGCAGCTTCCTAAAATATGCTGAATAGAGATCTAGGAACTCTGTGTCTTTTTTTATCAGACAATCTTCACTTTGGCTATTGTGCTGCCTGTTGGCAAAGACACAAATGTAGCATTTGGTGGAAAAAATGAATCTATGAGGGTATGTAAGGAGCTCTTTATCCAAATGTGTAATATTTTGACCTTATGATGTTGTATGCATTTGTTCAATTCCCAAGTCTGTTTCCCAAGGATGATGAATTTATACTGTCCTTTAGCATGTGCTGAGCTGGGTGGGCAGTGTGGCCAWGGCCTTTGTGTTTCCTGAGTCTGTATGGGAGTAGAGGAGATGGTTCACTCTGCTGCAGCAAGTCATGCTAGCTGGGCTTCAGTGCTGACATGAGAGATAGTGTTTACAGTGCAAAATGACTCGGGAACAAATCTAAGAAAAGGTCAGGGTTTTTTTTTTTCCCCACCAAGAAATATATCTCCTAAGGGTTTCTTTTGTTGCTGAGCTCAATTGTGCAAAATCACAGAGATGCAATCTCTTCAGCAACATGATCAGTTTTTTCCTAAGGATTCAGTACATTGCATGATGTTATTAATGTTTTGTTTCATCTGAAGCTCCAATCCTTCACATACAAATGCAATACTCTGTCAGTCATCAGCTACCATGGGACAGTGGTCTGAGTTCAGCTATTATATGATAGATGCTTTGAGACTGTGGGGGTTTTGTTTGTTTTGTGTTGGGGGGTTTTGTTCGTTTGTTTTTGTGTCTTTTTTTTTTTGTTTGCTTGTTTGTGTTGTTTGCGGTTTTTTGTTGGTTGGTTTTAAGGGTGTTTTTAGCACCACTGAAACTTCCCCTGTAAAGAATTCTGTAATGRTAATTTATCATCTAAAATAAATCTTGGATCGTGTTGCGAATGATGAGTTTCTTAGGGAAAGCACAAAGGAAACTATAGAAAATAAATATGAATTTTTAAGTTCTTTCTGGTGTATCTGATGTGTTATCTATGTATGCTAATCCTTTCTATTAGCAACTTAATTGACTTTGAAGAATCTTTAATATTTTGGAAAAGAGTGTTGGAAAAGCTGTATTAACACTAACCATAGGCAGGCTAAACCACAATTTCCATACCAATTGAAATCCCCACAGTGATCATGGCAATTTTCAGAGTTTCARCTTCCTTGTGGAATTTGCAGGTGAGAAATTGAAGAAGTGAAATGTGGAGTCAGTCTGAAGCAAAGGTAAAGAGCWGTTGTAATAATCCATTTCCCAAAAGAAGTACTAATGTGCTCTTTCTTGTCTTTAATAAGTAAAAGCTAATGTGTTAATGCATTCTGTTTATATTGGGATGCATTTGTGCTGAGCTGATTAATCAGAAATCATGTTTCATTTCTCATTTTAAAAGCTCAGCTTACGTTCTACAAGTTGGTTTTGATTTGGTTTGTTTTCTTTTTTTTTTTTGGGGGGGGGGGTTTTTTTTTTTTTTTTTTTTTTTTTTTTTGTTTGTTTTTTTTTTTTTTTGTCCTTACAAAACCCCCGTTTCTTCCGCATGGGATGGCGCTGAAGAACAGTTCCCAAGTGACAGCTCGAGAGCCTTGCCCAGAGCCAAGCGGTTCCTCTTCCCACAAGAGGGAGCCCGGCGGTCACTGCAGGATCAGATCCGTGCCATCTCTCGCAGGCCAGCAGAGGGGATGTGCTGGGCAGACCAGACGGGCCCGAGTTTAGCCCCTCATCGAAGGATCATCAGTCTCAAGTCACGGGTATGTGTCTGCCACCGGAGCCTTAAGGAAGTTTTGTGTCCTATTAAAATAGTAKTCTGTTGATTGCATAAAGTATTAGCAAAAATTCAGAGAACAATTCCCAGTGGAATTCCTGGAGCTGTGCTACATTAATAAAGAAGGTGTAGTTGTTTAACAGCGTTATTCACTAAAACTTAGGTGTGCATACAAAAATCCCTCATCTGACTCATCAGAATTCTTGCTCCCTCCAGAAAGAACACAAATATCAGAAAAGTGGACCAAAAAGAAAACATTCTAGAAATAAAAAGTCAGAATGGTGAGACTTCAGTAAAAGTTCTATATTAATTCAGAACATATGCCAGTGAAGTAACATACCCACCATTTTTTATAACCATGCCAGTACAATGTTCTTATTCCTAGAAATAGATTGCATGTCAGAATTTTGTTCATGAAACTAGCACTAAGCAAACAAACAGATCAATGGGGGAAAGACAATTTATTTTATTTCTGTGRCAGATGGACATTTCTTGAAAGATTTCTAGTTATTTATTAAACATATAGATTTTATTACAATTTAGGTCATAATCTGTTTTCCATATAGGTCAGCCAATGCCTGTTATGTGTTAAAAGCTGAGGAAACAAGTGCAGGAAAAGAGGTTAAAGCCAGGAAACAAAACCCCAGTGAGATGAACTGTGCAAAACTGAATACATTATTAGCCATTTGTGATATATCTGAAAATACCCCAAAACATTTTGACTGGCATATAAAAAAGCATGAAGACAAAAACTGTTTAATGGATTTTGAAATAGTACATATCTCAGAGGTAAGAGAGCTGCTCCTGTGGAGTTGTGCTTTTCATTCTTATGGGATTTAAAGTTTTTTTATCAGAGCTGTATCCCACTCTCCTTTCTAGCAACGTGTACCAGAAAAGAGATCCTTCACCGCAGACATTAAGAGGCATGTTTGAGGGGATATCAGGTGTACATATCACTCTTTTCAGAGGTTGAATTAATACACGAAAAGGACACAGGGCTTAAGCAAGATCATGCACTGTGATTTCAGAAGGAGTAATACCCAGCAGCTATAATTCTGTTTAAATCATTTGCCACCCTTCACCTAGAGCTGAGGTGTGGGACTGAATTATTTGGGCTAAGATAATATATAGGACACAAATGAGACTAATGCCCATATAAAGCAGCCTTTATTGTCAGTATCAGAGTTATTTTGGAGTACAAGTTGCCTATCTCAGAAATCCAGCTTGTCATTTACTGGCAAGGAAGGTAGGCTTGAGGGAATGACAAGCCTGCTACCAACCACTGCTTACATGAGTGGGGGAAAACGTGACCTTTGAAGGTGAGCTGTATCAGTGCCTGGGGGGAGAGCCTTGCTGTGAACACAAGAGAGAGCAAAGAGACGTGCTGGTGTTTATACATAATATATGAGGGCATGGCTGTATGGACGGGAATGGGTACCTCCCTATGCACACAGGGCTGTGTGCATGGCATATTCTCACCCCGGCGTAGCTATGGTCATGTCTGTATGGTGTGATGATGCCCAGGCCTGTGGCTGCAAGTGCGAGCGGGCGGAACCGCTCCCGACTTTGCCTTTGTCTCCCGKGCAGCCGTGGGGAAGGCGCTGCCGCCCCAGCCTCGCGGGATCCCCCGGCCCGGCCGGCTCGGCTGCCCCTTTAAGAGGCCCCAGCGCCGTGTCAGTGCCTGCGCCGGGTCCTTCCCTCCCCTCCCCTTCCGCAGCGCCGCCGGAGCCGGGCCGCGATGGGCCAGCGCGGGCAGCGGGTGCCGCGCCGCCGGGGGAGCTCCCGCGGGGCCGCGGGGCGCTCGGACACCGCCGGGTAGCGGCGGAGCTCGGCCGGGACGCGCCGCCGCATCGCCGCCCCGCGCGGGGAGCGTGTGCGCCCCGAGCGAGCACAATAGCCGGGAGGAGGAGACAGGGAAAGGGGCAGGGGAGAGGAGGAGAGAGAAAGGGAAAGCACAACACGGGGGCTGGCGAGGCAGCGCGGAGCGGAGGGCTCTGGAGCGTGGCCGCGCTGAGGACCGTGCCCAGGACGGCGGCGACAGGAGGTGGGTGGGGGGCGATATTTACCTTCCCTCCCCCGCCCCGAGCCCGCTCCTTTGTCCACGCGCTTTGAAGTGCTCGGGGATCGCCGGGGTGGGAGCATTGTTGTTCGCCAGCAAACGATCAGTCATGCCGGGGACAGAGTAGCGAGTGTGAGCGGGGCTGGGGCCGGCAAGAGCAGAGGGAGACGGGGAGTGGAGAGGATTGCGAGGGAGGATTGCTGCCTGCCTCCCAGTGCCCTGCATGGACCGCGAAAGAGACGCGCTGAGTTGACCCTGCCCGAGCTGTTTCTGCTTCTACATGTGAGATCCGGTTGGTTTTTTCTTTCCACCTCTCTCTCTCCAGCCTCCTTCTCGTATTCTCCACTTAACTCCCGTATGCAAAATGGTGGACCCTGTGGGGTTTGTAGAGGCTTGGAAAGCACAATTTGCAGACTCTGAGCCTCCTAAGATGGAGCTGAAATCTGTGGGAGACATTGAACAGGAACTGGAGATGTGCAAAGCCTCTATCCGGAGACTGGAGATGGAGGTTAACAAGGAGAGGTTCCGCATGATTTACCTGCAGACTCTTCTGGCAAAAGAGAAAAAAAGCTATGATAGACAGAGATGGGGTTTTAAACGTGTTTCTCAGTTGCCTGAAGGGGGTGCAGAGCAGCAGATCCAGGACCTGCATCATCACCAGTCTGCTGACCAAGAAGAATATGAAAAAAGCAAGTCACAGCATGGGGAGGAAAAGTTCAAACCCAGGATACCCTCTATGCGAAAGCTGTCTACCCAGAGTGATGGATCAGACCTGTCACCTTTGGACAGCCCCCATCATGGAGAAGGAGAGCAGGACAGGTGTAAGTACTATGGTGAGGAGAAACTGAAGAGAGTTGTAGAAGATRCGGAGAATCGCTGTGATGCAGATGGCTCTCCTTCAAAACACAGATCGGCTTCCACTCGCAGGCTAGTGGGATCTGCTGAGAAGGAGGGATCTTTTGAACCTAAGGAGAGAGGGAACAGCACCAGTGTGGCAGCCCTGAGGTCCAATTTTGAGAGAATGAAGAAGGTTAATTCGCATTCTTCTGGAGATAACAAGGACATTGTTGAAAAGCCCTTTTATGTGAACATGGAGTATCATCATGAGAAGGGTTTAGTAAAGGTCAATGATAAAGATGTTTCTGATAARATAAGCTCCCTTGGTAGCCAAGCCATGCAAATGGAACGCAAAAAGTCTTTGCACTCCCTCCCTTCTAACATGGTACCCAGCTTTGGTGAGTTCCAGAGGCCTACATATAGGGGAAGGTCCTCGGAGAGCAGCTTTGGCTATGATGCAGAATATGAGGATGCTGAACTGAACGCCAAGTTTCTTAAAGACAACCTGATTAATGCCAATGGCAGCAGCCGCTCACCTTGGCAGCCCATGGACTTTCAGCCGTACCAGAGTATCTATGTTGGTGGAATGATGGGGGAAGGAGAAGGAAAAGGACCTATTCTGCGGAATCAGGGCTCAGCTGACCAGGAAAAACATCTCACGTGGCCCAGGAGATCTTACTCCCCTAGGAGTTTTGAAGATATTGGGGGAGGATATACTCCTGATTGTAGCTCTAATGAGAACCTTACCTCCAGTGAGGAAGAYTTCTCCTCAGGACAGTCCAGCCATGTCTCCCCCAGCCCCACCACTTACCGCATGTATCGGGATAAAAGCCGTTCCCCCTCCCAGAACTCTCAGCAGTCCTTTGACAGCAGCAGCCCACCAACCCCTCAGTCTCAAAAACGGCACCGGCAGCAGCAGGTCATCGTGTCTGAGGCTACTATTGTGGGCGTACGAAAAACGGGACAGATCTGGCCAAGTGATGGAGATTTACCCTCTGGGAGATGTCACCAGGACAGCTGTTTCCATGGGGATGCAGGTGTGTACCAGCTTTTTGCTTAGTCTTTTAAATGTATAGAGCAGGGAAGGGCATTGTGGAAATGAATGAGAGACCCTGGGTGAATCACTGTGAGGGGGCTAGTGTTTCATGTGAGAAGTCTGTGTTTAATTTGTAATTCTGCTGTTTTAGGAAGATCCTACAGAAGTATACGTCAGACTGCATTTTAGGAATTMAGTCTGGATTCCCAGAAGGGTTGATTCAGGCCTCTCTTGAGAGGATCAATGGAGTCCCATGTTAATCAGTTCTTAAAAGTTTCAGTGTGAACACAGAGGTAAAAAGGGGCCAGAATTTCACCAGGTATTCACCGTCTGTGGTGAATTCATCACCAGGTCATTCCCTCACTTTTATTCGTGCATTATGAAGTAAGTAGACTCAACCTCAGAGGTGGTGGTAATGTRCCCACAAGCTACAACCTGAGGGTTTTGCCAGAGCTTTACTGATAATGATGMTGCTCCCACAATCTTGTTTTTTCCTGTCTGTATTAATTGCAGTGCTAGTTTCTCGTTCTGTCTCGTGTCAGTCTTCARTTAGAGCTGATTGGAGATGATGATTGTGCAACCCTGTTCTTGGAGCGTTCTGCTATCTCTGAGYGAAGGAAGAACTTGGAATATCAGAAAGCCCCGAGGGAAAGATGTTAACTAAATTTCAGCAGAATAAAACTTTTTATTTGGGGAAGAATGGGTAATGTTTGAACCCGTTCTTATGTAAGTCATTCAGGCATGCAGGTGTGTCTGTGGAATCACAGTGAGTTTATAGGTGGAAGAGGCATATAAGGAATGATGTTAATTTAGRTGGATTTTTTAAATATATGTGGATGTCTGAATCTATTTAGCAAGACAAGGCATGTAATGTAAATAGTATCCTATGCTAGGAACAGTAGTCTCCTATGCATTAAATGAAAATCAAATCCAGGAATGAAAAAAAAATAATGTTTGTTTTGACAGACTTCTTTAATTATAAATCTGTGAGTTCTCTCATGGGTTTTCTTTGTCTCTGAATCTCTCATTTTAATAAGGGGTTAACATGTTATTTGCTAATGAGACCAAATTCCTGTAGTAGTGGATGAATTGAGAGGCCTGTAAGAGATGTCACTTTCTCAGGTTGTGTGAGTTTGCTCTATAAATTCTCAGAAGAGTAATTTTTCTGAAAGGAGATGCCTGGTTTKACTTTCCCTGCTGATTGTTTTTGTCAGCAATACTTTTGGGAGCAACAATGGAGGGAGAACTCTTCTGTGCCCTGCTGCCCTCCTCTCATCCCATTGTATTATTGGAAGGTGGATGGTTGTAGTGGCTACTCAGTGTGCATGGAAGCTCTGCACCTCCTCACCGTGCCTTCTCCCTTATCAGATTGGATGTACACCCCTGTTTTCTCTCTGGGACTGCTGCATTCTTGCTGGGTTTTAGGGGAGAGGCTGAGTCTTGTGTTCATTTGAACTGAGCTCAGCCATCTGTCTCTGCTCTTGTTTACTGATGCTCTTTAGATGACTGGGAAGCCTCCTGGCAGTTTCAGTTTTTGCAGAAGGAAACAAAGGGGTAAAAATAACAAAGGTTGATAAAGCTTGAGGATAAATTCAGTTTTCAAAGAGGCAATAGATAATTTTTATTTTAAATAATTTAGCTGGGATGCAGCAATTAAGAAAAAGAGGCAGCTGAAGAGTCAGAACACTTAAAATTCCTAGATGTACTGGAAAGCTTTGTGTCTTGTTCCTAAGGATGACCACACATTTCAGGCAAGGACAGAATGTAACTGATCCACCTTCTGCTTTCCTCAGCATAGGGGGTGACATGGCAAGCTTAGCAGGAACTTTCACCAGATGGCTAATCAGTACTGTCTTGCACATTAGCTGGTGGCAACTTTTTACTTAACCCAAAAGGCTTATGCCTTCAGAGGACTGTGTTTCTGATTAATTCCTACTGAGCATCATTTTATATGAATTTTCTTTCTTTCCTGATTAGGATGAATTTTGATCTGAAACCAATTGGCAGAACCTTATTTTCATAAAACAAACAAAAGGCACGAGAGAGCACTGTGTGATTAGCTGGCTGGCTCCCATTCCCCACTACCCCGCTCCGCTGCCGACTGTTCTTCATGACCATGTGATGCCAAAGCCGTTCACAGATCCAGAGAGATTTTCCAGCACCACTAGTTCTGCCAGRCTTCCCTAAAGTTTTGCTTGAACAGAGTGCAAATTTGAATCACAGTAGGTTCTGGCCAGCCTAAATGTTAATTAGCATCAAGTGGAGTTTGTTCAATAGTATTTGACTTCCGTTGTATTCAGATTGTTGTGTGTTTTCTGGCTTTGCCTTTGATGGCTCTTCCCATAATAATGCTGAGTGTGCTGTGGGCAGGTGCAATGTGAAATTTCCATCTGGATCTGTCCCACTGCACCTTGAGCTTGGCCAGCAGACACATGCTGTTCTGCCCAAATTATTTCATGAGTTCACAGTTAAGTGATGTTTTCCTGATTTTGTATTACAAAAAAGGATGTCACTCTCAAGTCAGTGGAGTCTGAGCCAAAATTTGAATCTGGGTTTTTGGATGGAGATGGATTATCAAAAACCCTAAAGCAGACTAAGGTGTAGTAAGCTTTCAGTTTTTTCCAAGGAGCAACATGAGAGCTTCGGGGTTGAGATTTGGTAATAGCTGTACTTTCTATTAAATGTACTTAATGGAGCCTGGGCAAAGATATTTATATTAGGATTAATTATGTATCACTAGTTTCCTGTAGTGGGAATAGAAAAAAAAAATCACATCTCAACTTTGCATTAAGCTTGAATATCTTTACTATGATTGTGAAAGAAGAACAAAATKTTTTAAATTCTGTCTTCTGTTAAAYATTAATTGCAGAAWTAGACATGAGAAAAGCCACTCGTGCATTTCTCCTTATGGTCAAGGGCAAAGTAGCACAGTGCTGTTATGGAGTGATGAGACCTTGCAATGGCCTCAGCTGGGACAGTTTTTTAACTAGCAGCAGTTTGTTAATGAAGGAGCCCACTTGGAGCTGTTGCTTGTCTTTAGAGCTTGCTGCATAAAATCAATGCATACTCTCTCAGCTCGGTGTGTGAAATGATTTTATCTATCTGCMTAATAACATGGAAACTATCTGGAGTCTGTGTAAATAATATTTACCTGCACAGCTGCTTCCTTCAAGGTGCCCCAGGAGTAACTTCTGTTCACGTGAGAAGACTTAGTGGTGCTCTGAGAGAGTCGTGCCAGGCTCCTTCTCTAGGAGCCAGCATGAACCACCACAGGGCTCGAGATGAGGTCAGTTTGGGAATATGTGTCATTTAATTCCATTGGAGTGAAATTTTACTTATTTTAACCTCTACGAAACGTGGGAGTTCTGAATGTCCCTTTCTGGAGAGCATGGAAYGTTCTCTATATTTTTAGTGAGCTTAATGTAGAGAGGGAAAAGAGCAATGAAATTTATGCATGTGAACTGCAAAGATCACAATTCCTGTTATATCAACAAAAGGCCATTTTAAAACTCCTATTTACCCAGAGCTGTAGGTCTTCAGTTTTTTGTGTGCCTTAAATGACTGACCAGGTAGGCAAGTTTCTGAATTTTCTGCTGTTAAGGCAAATCTAGATACCACTTATTTATAAATCAAGAAAGCATGTCGTGTGTCATCATGGAGGGACCTTGTTCTGTACCACTTTCTGCAAGGGTTTGCTTCCTGAGTTATTTGCATCTTTTGAGATCTTAGACAAGTTTCTTAATTCTGCACTTCTTCCACCCACTGTTGTATTCTGTGAATTTTAGTTTCAAGATGTAATTGGAAAAGTGCTTTGCAGGATTTTGCGGACTCCTGAGGCAACATGCTAGTCCTGTTGCTATTCAGAAGCACAACTTTTCTTTGAGCAGGTGAGGTGAGCTGATCATTCAACTGTGTAGAGATTCTTCCTTCTGAAGAGATGAAACATAGGAACTTTTGTAATATGCAGATTGCKTGTTAATTTTAAGGACTGCTAGCCACAGGTCCTGCTTTCCATCTGTGACTTACTTTGGATCAATAACGCRCTTTAAATTTTCTCTGACACTTGCTCAGTTCATTTTGCTATTATTTTTTAAACATGTTTTAATTCTTTCCTGTGCTGGTCAGTGATTTCCTAGGAGCACTGATGCCAAGATGCTGTTTAAATGCAACCCCCCACCCTGCCTTGCTTTTCAGTGATTTAGTGGCTTTTGAGATTATCAGGATGCTTGTACTACCACTCCCCTCTTCTTAGTCTGGGGGAGTGAAGAGCTTCCTCTTTTTCTTTTCCAGATGTCTCTTTCCCTTCCTCAGAGTTTAATGGAATCTAGGGAGCTGCTTTATGTCCCCAGTGACTGTAGAGGACTCTGAAGTGTTTGTTTTGTTCCTTCTTCTTGAACAGTTGCTGATGTTTACCTCAGGCCTGCCAGAAGTAATGGCATGGAGATAGATTCTATTTTTTCTTTTCTTAGGTTCACACTAGATCAGGTACTTTTGCAGTCACAAAGCACCTGCCTTTGAAATGGGAGTTTAAACCAACCCACATAGTAGTTGCCTGGTACTGAGGAGCCCTGGAGACTGCTGGTGTCACCTCATCTGCTTGGGTGAAGCTCATTTTTGTGCTCCATGATGGAGAGATCAAAGTGGCACTGACTTCTTGTGGTGTTAGACAGAGAACTATGAATTCTGCGCGTAGTGGGTCACAAAGCTGCTTGTCCTTCCTGCACAGTTACCAAGAGTTCAAAGTGGTCTCTCTGGCAATAGAGATGAGCTCACTTTGTGCAGCTGCCACTGCTGCTAGAGGGCTTGAGTGCAGGTGAAATGCATTACCATTGCAAGCTTAAAGTTTGGGAGTGGTGGAGGMACTCAGGTGGGACCAAGCAGCCCCAGAGCCACAGGGATATCCATACAGCATCCATAGTGTGATGGGTACAGACTGGAATGCTGTGTGTATACCAAAACAGTTGGACCMAGCTTATTCCAGCTACAGCCCTAAAGCTTTGC